TAAATATACTCTCCAATCCACTCTCTAGCTCACTATCTATTTCTTTTTTCACCCAAATGACTCTCCAGATATAGAGAATCATTTAACCTCTCTAAATTCTTTTTCTATCTGTTTCTCTCTTTATGTCTCTCTATATATATGTTGTATTCCCTTAAAATTGTTGGAAGTTAGTGAAAGTTGGGTGAATAGTTAGCTAAAATAGAGAGTGTGGTTGTAGTGAAGATAAAAAAATAATTAATTAAAGTAGAGAATGTAATATTTAAATATTATTTTAACCAATCATTTTGGAGAGGTGGGTTAGAGATGCTCTAAACAACCATCATTTCAATTAATCAAGTAGTTATTGCTGCACATTTTGATGAGGACAAGTACTGAGAAACTAATGAGGATAAGTTGAGAAGTCACGACTTAATGAAACTAACTGACAAACCAAGAAAATAAAAACAGGTAAAAGAACCTTGCTGATATACTTTATCTATCAATAATTACAAAAGTTGTACTTAACCCAACACTTAAATTTCACACTTTAGTTGTATGATTTTAAGAAAGCTAGAAAAAGAGGGAAAGAAAAAGAAATTACAATATGTTTAGTTCCTATAAACCCGAAGGCCAGCACAATATGTATGACCAAATTGACAGCATATGAGCAGAGAGGGTAACTGGTGGTGAGAAAGATGATTGTTGAGGCTGAGAATAACAAAATAAGAAGGTAAAAGGAATGAACAATGCTTACGCGTCTGTTCCTGGAATTGGTTTATGATCGAAGCAGGCCGAGATTGCACAACGATGGAGACCGGTGGAATTGAAGGGATGAATGATTGGCATACATAAAACAATTGTACACTTGTGGAAGAGAAGTAAAAAAAATAAGAAAAGACAATGGATCGAATATGGGCGACTAAGTGCACGAGACTCCCACCATTGTGGGATATGGGAGGTTCGAATGTGCATAGCCTTACCCTGTAATGCAATATGGAAGTAAAAATGGAAACCGAACAGGGGGAAAAAGATTTTCTTTTTCCAATAATTAACTGAGGTTGCTAGCACTGGCGGCCCTTGCGGCACGAAAGAGCACCAGCCCCAGAAGTAATGGAGCCAACCATGGAAGAGGACTTGGCACCTAAACTTGAAGCTCTCGCATAGCTGGCTGTGGCTCCAGCTCCAGATGGAGTGAAATAGGCCCCATTAAGCATCAGATCACCCTCTGACCTCCAATTCCAACCCTTCCACTTACTTGCAGCTGTTTCCACCCTCTTTGTCACCTGTCAAAACCAAATCCCCAACATCAGACAAGTTCATCATGCCCAGTCATAAAATTTTCATTTCGGTTTGGTCAGAATGGAAACGTTTGGGAAATGTGTTTTGAATATTGAGAAAATTTGGAACTTATATTTTGAAAAATAATCAAACCTAAAAATTTGGATTTTTCATCACTGATCCATTTCAGTTTTCACTAAAAGCGAAATGTTTCCGTCATTTCAATGCAACTGACACGAAATGAAGACCTTTGAATCTTGATCACATTAACATCATTGTAAAGCGATCACTTATTTGTTAATAGAGGTTATTAGAAGCATAGTACCTCCTTTGCAAAAGGATTTACTGGGGCAAGGTATCTGTTGCCTTGACTGTTGATGGTGGGTTCTGCACTCCCACCAATGGCATACATCTCCCAGTGAGTGTAGTCATTGTTCACCACATGGAAATACCCATGTCTGCACCTGTAATTTTTCATAGATTGGTTTCACATTTAGATGTAAATTGAGAAAAAACCACAGGATTGGATATACTCCCTAGAAACATTATTTCATATAGCAATATCAAATTCCGGTCAATTAACCTAAATGGACAAGCCGATTTTCAGTGGAAAAGTGCGTCATTTTTCAAGCATTTAGTGGAGAAAGTGTCTTCAATCAGGTTATAGATGTTTTGAAGTCCTCCTAGCAAACTATTTACTCTGTAAAAAACACAAAGGCTATACAAACTTGAATGATATATTACCTCGGCATTCTCTGGATGAGACCCTCTCCGAAATGGTTGTAGGCGATGGTGACTTGCATTTGCTTGTCTCTTACATAAGAATCACTATGTCCCAACAGCATAACCTGCTCCCATTATACATGACAGTGTGGGTCACAAGGTGAAAGAGGATCAAGTCAAAACATGTAGTGAAATGGGGTTCAAAGTTAAAACACACCTCATTGTGGTGGGTAAAGTAATTGTTGGAAACGGTAATAGCAGTGGAACCCATAACAGCATCAATAAGGCCATCAGCACAGTTGGAGAGAGAATTGTGATCAACCCAAATATGGCTCGAACCAAAGATGGATATACCATCACCATCAGCCATTGTTCTCCAACCAAAATGGGAAGGTGAGCTCCTCACCATGGCGTTCCCGGTGGGTTTACAGTCATGGATATGTAGACCATGAATAATAACATTGGTGACAAATTGAATAGTGATGCAAGCTCCATTAGAAATGTGAACATTGGTTCCCCGGGCATCAATGGTCTTGAAACTATTCATTATGAGCTCCTGTTTCAAGGTAATCACCATGTCGCGTTGGAACACAATCCAGAGTGGCGTGTCCTGGATAACAGCGTGGCGCAGAGTACCTGTTGAATCACATAATATTTATGTTATACCATCTCTAATAGTTAAACATGCAGATGAGTTGATGGGTTAAGTATCAAATCAAGAAGTAATTTTTCATAAGATTTTTTCATTTGACTAAATAGGAATTAAACTAAACTTCTCTATGATTAATCATCCTCAAACTTCACTATGACTAATCATCCCCAAACTGATGGGCAGACAGAATGGTCTCTTAGAAGAAGATTTGAAACATTTGATTACGGTTAACCAACAAATTGGGTTGATTAGCCTGTCTATGTTACTTAAACTTTAGATGAATAAATGTTTTACAGTACCAGGCCGGGGAATAACAGGATCATCATCACCGGAGTCGGTGACAACATAGAAGCGACCATCACGGCCACCGATAGCATTTCTCCCAAAACCAATGCTGCAGTCAGCAAGTCGCTTGCGGTTTTGATGCCAGTTGGGGTCACAACGCCAGCAGTCATCAATCGGATTGCCTGTTCCACATGAGAAAAATCCCAATTTCCTTCTCTCAGTGCTGTTTCGGATGCTCCTGTTCAGTCAAAAAAAACAGCGTCATTAAGCCTTGATTGTTACATTTTCTTTGATATTTGATCACAAAGCAAGCTTTAGGTACAGATTTATAATGAACAAAGATCTAGAAACCCGCATAACATTTTTTAGTGGTCGAAGTAGGAGTGAAACGAAAATCAACACATTTTATATTCTAAGTCCCATTATTCGCATAAAATTCTAGTTTAACCATTGACGCGGTTTCAAGATAATTACCATACCCTTTTTTTTTCAATAGTCAAGAGAGTCTGGGTCAACTTACGTGCACTTCGACTTATTCTCTCTTTAATTTAATCAAAAATAAATCATTTATGTTGAAATTAGAGAATTCATTAAAAATAAATTCCTCATAATTAATTTCAAGAAATTACCAAGATTCCAACTCAAAGTTTATCTTGCAAAGTTTATCTTGCATTATATGTATAGACATACGCACACATATACGTATAAGGTAATAATTACTGGGTGTTGTGTCGGTGGAGCTAAATAAAATAGCTCCCTGTCTTTATCCCCGCAAGCCTATTCATCACTTTCAGTTGTAAAAAGCCAAAACCTAATCCGGGTGGGGATGCGCAACAGAGCATTATGTATTTTTGTCAGTTTACAAGGGCAATTTTGGTCTTTTCACACAACGGATCAAATTTTGTTAGCTTAATATTGGTATTGGGTGGCAGCAATACTTTTGTCTTTCTTTGGTCACACATGGGTGATGCTGCCACGTGAAAAAGATAGCACTCAAAATACATTAGACCACCCACACAAGCCTATTTCATAGGGTTCTTAGAGATATTATTATTTTACGAATAATGCTGAATAATTTTACTTCATCTTAAGGAGAATGCTATATAACCCGGATTTTATTTGAGTTTTATAGTATTTTTTTTGACAAAATTCAATCAAATTTGAGAAGATCAAAATCGGAAAAGGAATAGGTTCTTTGTTGCTACTTTTTAAACTTGCACGTACAAAGTACAATTAAATGACAACTTTACAAAGTACAATTCAGAGAAAAGAGGTCAATTTAGGCACCCCTTATAAAGCAAAATTCTAATGAATTGCCCTTCAAATATGGTGCTCCATAAAAGGAACCAAAGAAAGGCATATTTGACCTTTTAATGACTCTCGAAACTTGCCCTTTAAGGGGTTCGGGGATTTGTCCAAACCATGCAATTTGTGGAATGCCAAATCGAAAACTAGTATAGAAATGTATGAATGTTGTTCCCTTCTAATATACTTTCTCAATACGAAGATCACTTGCTCTAAATTAGTGAGGTACCCACGGATCATTATCGGGGAAAATGAAGAAAAGTAAAGAAAGGATCCAAATTCAAATTTAGAACCAGTCACATTTAAACATTCAGATAATAATTCTATATAGACACATCTCTATAATACGGATAGGGACAAGTTAAGGTATTAAATTGAGCAAGGCACGGATAGATCTCACCACAATCCCATGTGGGTGGTACTGAACAAGAGGTTGAAAGACGTCAGATGAGGAACATGGCCATTAATTCCACAGATTGCCAATTCCATAGTGCGAATGATAAATATAGGTTAGGTGGAAAACAGTATTGAACACCAAAATATGTATACTTTATATAAAGTACAGAGGAAAGGTCCTCAAAAACCCACGTACACTTGAAGTCCAAACTTTTGTAGTGGGTTGGGTCAGTAGGTCTGCTATCAAGTGTGAGTTATCAAGATTACACCAAAAACTACTCTACCCACCAGTGCATCGTATGAGGCTTGTAATAATAGGCTCAACGTTCACAGGATGAACAAAATGAATATGTGTGTGTGTGAGAGAGAGAGAGGTCCCTACATATTAACCATGGCGGCAACTTCTTCTGGGTCATCCACTGCATGTTCATTTAAAGCTGGTTCAACCTCTTCCAACCTGCACACAACAAAACCGCATAAATTCACCACACCCCAACACCGAAACAAGGTACAAAATCAACTCAAAAGTGATGGGAAAGAAAAAAGTGTAATATTTTGTATAACCTAATTTAGTGATCTTATTTAATAACATGATGAATCATAGTCATTAAATTAATAATAAATCCTAATTAATAGTGGGGTCTATTGTCAATCTAATGACAAAGAACCATAACATCAACTAATGTTACTAAATAAGCTCTATATTACTAAAAAAAACCCACAAATATGAATCAACAGACAGTTTCAACAGTAAACTTTTCTCAAACACAAGTTGGGCCAATCACAACCACTTTTAACTCGTTCTGGAACCAACCCATTTGGAGTTAAAAAACCAAAGACACCCCATACCAAGACGAAGTTGCCGATGGTAAATAAAAGTTGGAACGAAGGCACAGGGACACTTACGTAATTTGGAGAATAGCAACCGACATTTTTTAGCAAATCGCACATTTCATACTCAATATAATTTAAATTTAAAAATTTGATCTAATTAACTATCTAATAAAATGGTTTCATTGCAAACATTAGATTATTATAAAGTTTCAATGTTTGATATGACTCTCGGTTACTCTAATGTTTGTTGTGAGTTAAGTCAACAAATTAACTCAATAAATTAAATTTTAATAATATTACTCGTGTTTACGCACACAAAAATGCTTTCAAAGGGGCGAATCTATCGTGGAAGTTCGAATTTACTAAATTGACTTATGAGATTGTTTGGAGCAGATAATATAATTGGGAATTAAGATGATCTTTCAAGGACGTTAATGACATGATATCACCATTGAACGGAATATTTTCTTTTTTAATTGGGGACGAATCACGAATGAGGATCTTTATGCAAGCAGAGGAATCAAACAACCATAAGGAATAAACGGTTAAGATCTGAAGGAATTTGGGATCTCAATGGCTCGGATTGTCCAATTAAGGTTTTGGAAACGACGGTTTTGATTCCGTTAACACTAAATTTTTAGGCACTGAGTCGACTCAGTAGAAGTACTAACAAAGTGAACGAGTCACTGACCTCTCCGCCATTGTTGAGTCGGTGGAGCTCTGCAACTGCACTTTTTCGACAGTCCTGTTAACGAAACAACAAAATGTAGGGCTCCTTAGGCGCTAATAAACACAATTTAATGGTACGAACATCTCCAATTCAAACAAATTGAGTTCAAAAACAATACAGAGCTTATATATATATATATATATATATATATAGAGAGAGAGAGAGAGAGAGAGAGAGAACCTTGATTCTGCGACGTCGTTTTTCTGTACCACCCTTGCCATGGCACCGACAAGGAAGAGAAACAGAAGAAGCAAAGAACACAGAGAAACCAACTGCTTAGGAGCCACCATTGCCATTTCACAATTCTCTCTCTTCCTTTCTCTAACCTCCACTTTCTCTCTCCAAAAATATTTCTCTCTCTCTCTCTCTAAGGTAGGAATGAAGAAGGAGAGGAGAGAGAATAGAATAAGAATAAAGCTGAGCAGAGAAGATGGGGGAAGCGGGAGTCAGAGACGCTGCGATACCCCGGCGTAACGGCCTCTTTTTATAGACGAAGCCAACGAGATAACGTCGACTTAACGGCCGTTAATTAATTGCTAATAAACACATAACGAAAATGATGAGAACATTTGACCGTGGTTAGGTTAAGTTCGTGTGTTTTTTTAACTACTCTACTTCAACATATTAACAACCACACTAACTGCCACTAACGGCTCACTCAGCAGGCTTTGTCATGGGCCACTCACGTGACATGTCTGTCCCTATCCCTTATTTTATTTTATATTATTTTAATAATTGAATATATATTATCTAGGAGTATTACAATATAATCCAAAGTATAAGCAACACAAGCATGATCCAAGGAGCACACCAAAACGCATTCCTCTCACATTCTAAAAGATTATGGCTCGATTTGTAATGTACCGTAAAAGAAGGGATTGTATTAGATAATATAGATTAATTTTGCATGAGCGAATAAAACACTAGATTAAATATGAAACAAAAATATTATCTATCATAATTCAGTTTTTTTGTACCACATTAAATTAAGGGTGAGATGTCGATTTAATTTTTTATCTTAAAATTGGAGGTTCGAGTTTTGGAGTCTATTTTGGGGCTTGATGACTAATTGATATATTAGCCTAACTAGGTTCGTTCTCGAAAAGAGTAACGGACGCGGTCAGAGGCCTCATGATCCAATTAATAAGGGTATATTGGGGTGGTTTCTGAACTCTCTCATTTACCCCCCATTCATTTTTAGTATAAAAAAACAATATTAATTACATATTGACCATAAAATTATCAATCTAGCGAAGTTATCCATTTTTAATATATTTGATTGAAAAAATAGGAAATTTATAATTTAATACAGTTGAAATGAATTATAATACTACATCTTTAAGTGGTATTAAAATTAGTTCAATAGTATGGATAAAGCGTACTATTCGTACGCGTAAAATAAATTTATATATTTATACTATTATAAAATATTCACATGTTAGAAAAACGTTTGATTACATAAAATATCCAAATGAAATTAATAACCTTTAATCCTTCAAATTGAGACTCATTTCAACCCGGTTCTTATTAAACATTTAAATGACATTAAACTGATTGTTCGTTAATACAGTAAAGTCTCTTCAAATTACTTGAACGTAATCATTCCCATGTATCTAAAATCTAAATCACATAGAACGGGAGAGAGAACGGAACTGCAAAAATGACAAAATTAAAAAATAATTGAAAACGAGAGTGTCTTGAGAGCGTTATATTATATGCATCAAAACAAATATTCACCCATAAAAGTTAATAAAAATACAAAAATAAATTCATGCACAACTATGTGAAAAATTATTTAACTTTTAAATATATATTGATTATAAGGTTCTCAAATAGTTATAATAAATTACAAATATCATTCTAGTTTGATTTGTATTTTTATGTATCAGTTAATATTTTTTAAATAAAAATTTAATTAATAATAAATAGTTGTAAGAGTGGGAATTCGTGAATTTACGAAAAAATTTGATCTCAAAATGCAAATTCGTGCTCAAAGTGTTGATTATTTAGAAGGATTACATGATTAAGTTTCTGAAACCTTTTAACGATATAGAGGGGATGATTACGTATCTAACCAACCAAATTTTCGTTTTCATATGTCGCTACATGTGCCCCCACCATTGATTGCTTAAGTTAGCAATTGTAAGACGTATTAAATTTTAGGAATTGAACTTACATCGAATGTATTGGTTACCCCTAAATGGTTCTATAAACTTATTCTATTCATTATACCATAAATTTTCATATACTTCAAAAGTCATTAAAATCATCTAATTGGTCTTTGCCTTTTGGGTGGTCTCAAGTTCTAATAATAAAATGTTTCTTGTGACTTGACAATGCTGCTTTTGAGATAGGAAGCTCCAAGTTGTACTCTTTTCATTTTGACAAGAATTGACAATGGACTCACATTGGCTTGGGCAAATTTTCTAGCAAAGATCTTTCTAGTTTGAGAGTTGTGAATACAAAGTTGTCTGTACTTTTTAAGGTAATAGCAGCTCACAATTCATAATAATATCTTCTTTTGTCCTCTTGTTTTTTTTTAGTTTTTCATTTTGGCTCTTTTAGATTCATTCTCATGATTTTTAGGACTCAAAATATCATGCGTCATTCCACTTGTGGCTCTTCTTCCTCTACTATTTATCTTCAAAAGTAAGAAGTTCAATTCTACAATCTATCTATGTGTTATACCAATTGTAAATTTAGTGTGTCAATCAAACAAACTATATATCTTGGAGGAGGCATTAATGGCATGATATTCATTCACCCGCTTCTTTTGGTAAGTTAAATCCTTATTCTCTTTTCACAACCCAAAAAAAATGTTAAAAAGGATAAGTTTGATTCAGAGAGAAATTAATTACTTTGGTGTTGCAAGTTATACAATTTGATAATTCTGGCAATTTATGTGGTGGTGTTAGAGATTTTTAGATTGAACAGCATGAGTATATATTGAATTAGAGATGACTCTCTTTCTCTGACTAGATATGCCATGGGTTTATAATGTCTCCCTCTTGAGCATGTTACAAAAACTTTGTATATAGATCATATATAGAGCTTTTGTCTTAGTTATTTTTTTTTTTTATCATGAGGACAAAATATCCTATGGGTTTATAGAGTCTCTCGCTTGAGCATCTGACAAACTTAGAGTATATGAGCAACGCCCAAATAACTTTATTTTAGCCAATAATTTTTGTGATTTTCTCATAAAACTTGATTGTTAAGTGATTAGTTGTCAATCTTTTACTAAAGACATGCATTTTGGAGAAAATGGTGCAGGGCTTTTATTTACAATATTCAATACGTAAAATGATCTATGTATCACACACGCGTACACCAACTAGTATAAGGTTAAATTAAAGAGTTTTAATCTGTTATAATTTTGTAAACTAACTCTTAATGCTGCAACCAAATGAGTTAGTGTATAAAACGACATAGTAACTTAAACTCACACAAAGAACAATATAGCTTATGAATGGACACTAAATAATAAAGGAAAATTCGCCAAATCTATAAAAAAAATATTATTTTAACTTAATCTATTGATTTAATTTGTTGAATTAATAATCACTGTCATTGAATTGATAGCAAATCTCAAAAATATTGAAATTAACAATCAATATAATAGTCAAGATTGATTAGATGAGCAAATTAAACTAACAAATTAGGTACAAGTATCATTGCTTTCTTAAATTTAAATCTAACACAATTCGACTACACGCATATATTTTTATTTTTCTTAAATTCAACTACAATTCACATGAATAGATTAGTGGTGTGGGATTTAGTTTGGGTTGAATTGTAAATTTGAGCATGTTGAATTTGACTCACGTTAATGAATCTCAAGTTTTATCGATACTTGTAATTGACATGTGATTACAGGTATCGATTAATAATTTTGTAAAAATGGGTCAAATATAACCTTGCCTTAGAGATTATTAAAACCCACAAATACATCTAAGAAGGATAAAGTAAAATCAAGTGCTTTAATGGAAATACGTTTATTTAGTATTTTTCTTTTTTTTTTTAAAGGCGGAAATAGTTTATAGTGGTCCATTCACCATGTGCCACGTCAGCAATATCCGTTAAAGGGTAGGTGGCCGTACCGTTGGGTTGTCCGGACGAACACTGCTAAGGAATTTGAAGTCACGTTTCCAGCTGATTTTGCTGTTTAACAAAATTATTAGGGACTTTTTTTTGTTAAAAAAATTTTTTGAACTGAAAATTATTAAAAGGGAATTGAATTACCAGTGTTTGGTGGAAAATAATTCCCCTTCAGTCCGGAAGTCACGGCGGAATTGGGTCCGGACTGGATTTGGGTGGATAAAAGCACTTTAGGGTCTTAGATCTTGTGTTGGAGTGTGGTGGCAGGAAGCCCAACATAAATACTTGGACAAATTATCGAAAACACCCCCTTCAACTATGAGAATCTACCATTTCATCACATGTAACAATGCATACTTTGCTAATTACTCTATTTCCCTTCTTTTTCCTTCTTCTTCCCTTTTGACATTATTGTCTGTCTCTTCTCATTAAGGTTCGTGAAATGTCCTACTTCTATCTTTCGGGTTGTGATAGGCTATGTAGTTGCGTTATTGATCCGGATAAACGAACCCTATCAAATAAAAGTTAGACAATAAATGTATATTTCTCTCAATTTGTTGAGTCAGTGTAAAATGGTTACATGACTTAGACTTTAGAGAAGAATCTAGGCAGAGAAGTAGGCCTAGCAAGTCGATCTGACATGCGATCAATGTATGTCGTCCCTGTTTCTTGCTTTGTTTTATTGAAATGATATATCATATATACTGAGTGGATCTTATTATTTTAATAACTATCGATAACCACTACATCAAATAATTTTTATATTAGAATAGTGAGGTTTAGTTATCCTATATGTCATTTTATTATTGAACGATGATGACATGATATAATCATTACACTAAATATTTACCTCTTTTTGGGGTGCCCTACTATGTCCACATGCAACAACCACATGGCTACCATCATAACAATATTTCACGGGTGCAACAAAACTTCTTCTAGTTCTTCCACTCTTTCTCATCATGTAAAAAGGTTATACACAACATCATGATGCATTCTCAAAACCAAAAAAAAAAACCCTTGATTATGTGGACCCAGTCTAGAATAATGGTAAGTTTTGTTACGCCTTAATTAATGGTATGCTTTTTTAGAAAACCGTTTTTGACCACAACAACATATTTTTTAGATTGTCAAAACAAAATGTAATCTAACAAATTTGAGGAACAAATTTAGTGGCGGAACAAAAAAATTCAAGTGAGATGTAGGATCCATGACCCCATCGGGCTATAATCTAGTTTTGTCATGGGTAGATTAGCTAGTCCATGGGCCTTTTGGAAAGGTCTCGGGATCGACTCCGCCTATTCCTTAGGGCTAGTCATGGATTGGGTTAATTTTAACATCACTTTAT